CGGGGAAGTTGAGGCCAAAAGAGGAGTCTAGTTTGATGAACGATATCACCCTGGAGGCCATTAGCTCACACCCCCTAGAAAGACCTTCAGAATCATTCAGAAAGCTGAAACTACAGCTGATAAAGCAAAAGCCATAAAGTAACGATGTAAACATCTTCCTTCCAAGGTTTTCTCAACAAGGAAAGTATTTTCTTGTTATTATTATTCATTTTACTATCCCCCTCTTTCTTCTATGAAGTCACAGCACATGTAATTCTACAATTCTTACTCTACTATTGCCTCAGTACTCACTATTTTCCACAGAGCCGATGAACACAATGGAAAGCACACTATCACCCCAGATGTCTCCTATTACTGGCTCCGACCAAAATTATTTACACATCGTCTTACTGGAACCATGGAGAAAAAGAGCGAGACAGAGAGAGAGGGGAAGGAGGGCGGTATTCAGTTTACTCCTTCGGATTTGCGTAAGCATCCTCTTATCGGGACGCTGACAAGACATGGCAGACATGACATATCTATTCAGAGGAATGCATGTGCAGTTTTCTCTCCTTGTGGTGATGAGCTTCTGCAATCGGGAGAATATTTGAGTAAAGAAAAACACAACAAGTCAGCTGTCCTTCCATTTACATTGTGTTGTTAATTAAAGTTGGTAATGCAATGTTAAAGGAGCACTGAACACAGAGGGCCAGAATGAATCCTCCTCTTGGACAATACTGCTAAGATAAAGGCCCCACCATGGGGGCAGAGCAGACCTGTAATTAGACACAGTCAGGACTCCCGTTGCTATGTAAACATCCCAACCACTATGCCTAGAAACACGGCCTCTTCGCTGCGCCGCTCCGGTTCCTCGGCATGAATCACACAGCAACATCTGGTTTAGCGTGCTGGAATGGACTTTGTCGGTTTGGCACGCTGTCCGTGTGTGGAGTGTGTCGATCAGGACCAGACGCCCCACGCCTGCGCCTGCCTCTCTCCTCTTCCCCTCAACTACGCTGACTCTCATATTACAGTGGTTGCACAATACATTCTGGCAGTGCTGACTCTCGCAGGCCCTAAGAAAGCATTGTGGATACAGAGACAAACCTTTTGCTCAACTGTGGTGGAAGGAGGGGGGAAAAAGTTACAACCACTTCTGGCATTGCAATGACTTGTGTCTGCCAATAATATACAAAAATCCAGACAGAAGGAACTTGTTTATTTTACAGTAAACAAGGCTACATTTACTTAGGCCACATTTAAGCATGTGGCCTAAATTCAGTGTCTTTTGTGTTTTATCCTAGGGAAATCATAATTTTGACCTTTAAAATTTATAGAGAGGTATTTTAGTCATAAGCTAAACTTTACTTTTTTGGATTACATGCAAAATATTATCTGTTCAGAAACATAACACAACAAATCATTCCTAATGTTATCACTTTCCTAAAATAATGGCCTGTATCTTTTTTTTCCCCCCAAAGGTGAGTTGTTTTCTTTTTCTTAAATTATCTTCACAAAAATGGTGGTAATTTTTTTGCAAACATCACTTTTGGCACACAATTACATAAGAAAGTGACAATATGAAACATGGTGGCGGCAGGGTCATGTTGTGGGGAGGCCTGTCTTCACCAGGGAAAGAGAAGAGGGGATTTGTGCAGAATTATAGGAAGATGGAAAAAGCTAAATGCAGCACAATCCTGGAAAAAAGAGAGAAATGCAAATGCATGCTAAACTTTTTTAGATTTGTTATTCACAACATTTTTCATGAGTTTCTAGTTGCAAAGGTGCAAAATGTGACCAAATTCAAAAGATTTGAATACTTTTGCAAGTCCCTGTAATACATGGCCTGGCTCCTGAAAAACTTCATTTCCTTGCAAAACACCAAGTCAGCACAAATGTTCCTGCACATCCCCTCCCAAAATGGTGGTAATAGCAATCTGGGGAGAGGCAACCACAAAATGGTAATGATTATATGGAAGGAAAAAAAATATATGAAGACGGCAAAAAGCAACTGAAATATAGATGTCAAAGGTACACTCTGGGTTTCAGGAGCTTTGGGAGGCTCAAATCCAGGGTTGCATTTCACTAATAGCAGATTCATTATAGGGTAATCTAAACAATACTCAAGAGCTCTTCCAACTAGTTTAAAGGCAGAGCTGAGTGTTTACACAGATGCAACAACATAACAGACATATACAAAGATGAGAGTTAGAGTTTGATGTGACTATGCTAATTAATTTTAATAGAAAGCAAGCAAGAAAGAAAAATATTAAGTATCTGTTTATTCTGGTACTCTAATTGGTATTAAAGAGGAACATCTAAAACTTTGTCAGTAAACCAAAACTGCAAGCACGCTTGCTGCCAGTGCACTTTGGAGGAAAGGGTTGTCTGACTGTAAATATCTGTCCCTCGTGACACGATACAACAATGCTTCTTGCGGTATGAGGAAGAATTTAGAGGAAAACTTCATATGGGACTTCATTGTGTTCTAGATCCTGGCATTGTGGGACAGATGATGTTTTCTCTGCCCACAGCACAAACTGACTACACTGCTTTTGTTTTCATTAGAGCAAAAGTCAGCTCTGCTGAGTGCTACTCAAATCCCCGGAGAACGGAGAGGAGCTTTTAAATAACAACCTTTGGCGGCAAACAAACTGAAAGTATGAAAAACACAGCCCACAATTTATTTGCTTTGTTTTTGGAATAATTTTTTATATTTTGGGAATCTATCCCTGCACTGGCAAAGCAAAATGTTTCAGTATGAAACCAGTCTTTGTGAAATGGACATACTTCTGTCTCAGGTTACTTTGAACATGACCGTAACTACTTTAACAGATTTTTCATCAAAACATGGGGCAGAGTACCAGACTGATAAAGTTGGTTGGGTTCCCAAGCAAAGCAAAGAAAACCACTGTTGCTATCTAGAGTGGTAATGTCTCCAAAGCTTGCATCAAGCTGAGGAGACACCATGGCTGTGGTTATATCTTCCATGGATAACCATGAAAGATATCCATGAAAGATATAACCACAGTCTCTAGAACCAATATGCAGCTAAGTCTTCTAATTAAATTCTGGAGGCAGGAAAATTGGTGGAGATAAGATGAGACCTAATAGCTGTGGGCTTACCCTGACTTTTCTCTTAGCATTGCAGACAGCATTTTCTAGTGTCCTAGAAGTTATCACAAATAAAGGGATATTTCAAGTTTACTTTGTAAAATGGACAAAGTGTTAAAGTGGTTTATACTTTGATTCATCCATTGAGCAGTTGCTCTAGACAGGTAACTTTAATAGATTGTGTTTTGGTAAGTCATTGTTTAAAACCACAAACCATCTTGGTCTACGTTGTAAACAACCAAAGAGTTTTACATCAAATTTGACAAAAGTGTAAGCATTACATTCTCATGTATCACTAAGACTTTGATAGCTCTAAAAACTGAAACTCAGAGTGTTCTTCCAGTTGAAACAGATAGTTCTGTTTCATCAGAACAAAGATACTAGGCGCCGGCTCCAGTTCAGTTTAAAGCATAGTACCAAAATGTTCCATCATATGGTCTCTGCAGTTTAACTTTCTGCACACATAATTTTAGAAAGTGGTAGAATTTCTAAGACTGTTTTTCATTGTAGGTAGAAGAGAACCTGTTGCTGCTTATTTTTAGTGAGCTAGTTGAAGGAAGTCACAACAAAATAAGGCCTAAATTCAAGAAGTTTAGCTAAAAATAATCATTTAATTGAAGTTTTTATATTCATGTTCACATTTTTATTTTTTAACAAAATAAATAAACTCTGCCAGCAATTTTTGGTTTGCTTCTAGGTTAAAGTTTTTAGAGATACGGCAACTTTGACTACTTTATTCTACTTCTGTAATTTACAGCAAAGCAAAGTCATGCTTCACTGAAGCAGACCTGGTTTGAATGAGAAGGTAAAAAATAACTTTTAAGTGCTGACAGACAAGAGGCTGATATTCTCAAAACTGTTAGGATTCCTTCTGTTTCAGAAAATGCTGGAGAGAATACAGACATGCACATTTAGCAAAACAATGAACGACAGTTTGATAAAGTAGTTGGGATTAGTAGCGTTGGTTGGGGCATTTGATGATGTCATCCAGAGCTAATTTGACATAGGATGCCAAAGTTCCTAATGTTCTCTTTTTGCTTTGGTTGCTGTTCTGCTTCTGCATAATTGGTAGCATTATGGCGTCATTCCGCACAATCTGACAAGTACACCTGCTGAGGCCTGCTGGATCTTTTCATTCTGAGATTGAGTTTGTCAGCACTTTCCTGAATATTAATCCTCCTTACTCACGACTCTGACATGCACTGTCAAGAAAGGCATGCTGGGAGATAAAAGTGGAAAATCCCACAGCATAGCCTAAATTATGACTGCAGGCACCGTGGCAGAGCAATATGGAACTTCAACATGTTCATAATCAAATAAATAAATAGAACACTATCAAACAGATACATAAATGCATAGTACATAAATCCAATTTGAATACTTTATTCATCCTGAAGAGAAATTAAATGTTGCCGTAACTCATATCATTAAGTGTCTTCAGATTCATTGAAGATAGTGAAGCCGTAGGTAGGAAGTGTACCACTCAGTCTTGCAACTAATCTGAAGACGCTGTTGATTTATGACAGTTTTATGAGTGTTATAATAGAGACTTTTTTCTGAGTCTTTTTTATCTAATCCTGTCAGTTTATCTTCACAAAATAAGCTTGCATTTTTCATCAGTGTTTTTCCTGATGGTCTATGTACTCCATACTTACACTTTTCAGCAGAGTGACTTAATATTTCAATTAGAATCAGTGGTTGAAGTTCAATACATTTTCTGTCTGGATGTAAATACAGGGAATCTTTACAATATAAAAAGTCTGAAAAAGTGTGGGATTTTTAGTTTTATCTTTGACCTGATCTGGATAAGAAATTGAAGTAGAAATCCTGTAAACAGATGCATGCCATGCAGGGCATACGCAACACCCAGGTACACATGTTTACTATGATCTATTGCGTAAACTCACCTGCTGACGTCAGGCAGCATAATGCAAGAAGCATCAAAGGAATGCGGGATCTTTGAGCCATTTTGTTTTTTCTTGCAGCCTCTGATGTGATGTCAGTGGGGTGAGTTGCAATTCTCTCTGCTTTTTGCGAAGATTTTATTTCCCGTAAATGGGTCTACAGGAAGCCACCTTCCAGCTCCAGCTGCAAAGTGAATAGAAATAAAAGATGTCAGCTGGGGAAGAAAGTCAAACCTGAGCATGAACAAACAGCGGGGGTGACAGGAAAGTGCTTTGTCTGCACCATGGGAGCGATCAGATGAGACAAGAGAAGCAGCCAGTTTGCAGACCAGGGGATTAATTTGAGGGGTTAATTGGGGGTAAAGCACGCTTCAAAGGGCCATGCTGCAAACAACTCTGTGAAAGGTCAGAGTGTGTAAAAAGTGCAGGAGTGACTTAATTGGAGGGTGTTAAACACTCTGCAATATGCCACAGATTATAAACACACTTCCATTAAAGGCATCAGGACACACGTATGACTTGCCAGTGGGGTCTGGGAGTAAGCAGCTCAATACAGTCACAGACATCAACATGAACTTGCAAGCAAGAAAAAATAAAGTTGAGCATTTATCACAAAGTCTTATTTTTCTCTGTACAAATACAAGATTCAAACACATAAAGTGGCATTTACGGTTCATTGATAAAAACTTTAATTTATTGCCATAAACTTTGTGTATCCTAAAACTTAAAAAAACATAAGAAAAAGATAAATTTTTAGGAAATCCTACAAAAAGCTCAAACCAATCAAACACTCTATACACTGTGCTCATTTCTCATGAAACATATGCTCCAGATAAAAGTCAAGCACACCGCCACCTTAAGTGCTACCTATTTTCTTCATGACAACCAGACTGTAACTGTACCCACGTCGATGTAAAATCCATGTGTGCAAGATATTGTAACAGGAAGCACACTTGTTCACAGCTTAAAAGCAGCGCCTTGGACCAGAATGGAAGCCGCGAAGAGCAGGCACATGTTCACACGTATGTGTTCACTGCAGTGAACCCAAAAAGTGTGCATGGGAAGTGATGCACAAAGCGCTTAGGTGCATCACTCTGCAGTGCAAGCAGCGTTCAGAAGACAAAAGGGCCTTTCAGTGTGCAGCAGCTGCATGGGCTGGGAAGTCTTTTTTGGAAAATCTTGACAAATGTTACACTGTTAGCTCATCAGGGAGGATTAGTGCCCCTCTGTTTGATTTATGCTCCTCCTTGACAATCACCTCCTTACTAACTAAACACGGTGAGGCTGTGTTGCAACACTTTTGGGGAAGCAGAGACCACAATCAAAGGAAAATTGCTGTTGTGTCCTTCTCTTCTGCTGCGCTGCAGATTAGCCATACTTTACCCAGGCATATTAAGAGATTTACGGAAACGTTTTCAACCTGGTGTGAGATAACGCTAGCGGTTTTCCACCTGAAGCTTTTGATTTTCTTGTGGCAACACACAGAAAGTCTGGAAATCACATCCGAACACAGAGAGCTTTAAAGGAACTACCAGATTCTCCTGAACATTGCTGAAACCAAGTGACATACTTATGGTGGCTTCAATGTTAAAGCCCTGGCTTCCATCTATCATCACAACTGTCTCTTGTGCATGTTGTGTTGCTAGGAACAGAGTAGAAATGTTGTTATAGTAATCACAGAGCGATGGATATCTGAGCAGACTGTCTGTATTACATGTTGCATCTGGATGACTTAGCTATTAATCTGAAACAAGCTTGCTCTATGGCCGCCTGCAGTTAGCGTGTTCTCACAGTATAACAGAATGAGTACAAACAGTTCTTTCCATATCCATCATTACATTTATACATTTATCATGAACATTTATTGTTATTTTGATTTTGATGCAAACACTTGAACTGACTTCTGTTGTAGTTGTCAAGCAATCATGCACACTTTGTTGCATATTACCTTTTGCAGTTTTGCTTTTAAAAATATAACAGTGATTTTAAGTAGCTGCAAGATAACTGGCTAGCTAGCACAGACAGCCAACCTGCAACTGGCTGCTTACCCATGCCTGTCACAGTAACAAATTTTGTCCCAGAAATTATTGCGATAAAGAATAATATTGTTATATAGGCATCATTTTCAATGTTACAATGGTAATAATGGTATCATAATAGCAGGTGCAGCCTCTCAAATATTAGCAAATTCTAACAAATAGTTAACACTGGAACTTTAAGATATTTTAAATGTCCAAAATAAATAAACAAAAACTGCTGAAAAACAAGAAAAATAATCGATACTGAAGTCTCTATAAGCAAAATTGATATTCAGATCAATGCGCCAGGCTGAAACCATTCATCATCCAGCTTTTGATAAAAGAGAGGACACAATAAAAACAAACAATTGTGAAAATGGAAATGATCAAACTTGTTTTGATTTATTATGTGTCAAACTGATTTGTTGCTTATTGTTATAGATTAATGCCACCTCATAGTCCTTGTGGTTGAAAACAGTATGTGCCACCTTAGAGATTTTTTGGGGGGCTTTGCTTGGTCACCTGCACATGTTTCAAAATAACTTTTATTGTCAAACAAAGATTTTTTAAGGTAAAAATTTTAACTTGCCAAAACGAGGCCTCTTTCCAGCTAAATCTGCAGAATAAAAACCAATGGCTAGAAGACCTGAAAAAGTGACACATCAGGTCAGGACCTAAAGAAATTCAATAACAGAAGGGAAACAAAGTCCGTGTATGTATCAGTCTGGGAAGGGTTGCAATGCTTTACGACACCAACAAATCACACCGAAAGCCCTGATACACAATGGAAGAGTGGTGCACCTTCCCTGGGGTGTCCGGACCAAATTGCTACAGTGATTTATTTTCTTTCTTGTTTTTTAATCCAAGACTGTTTCTTATTCCCACTTTCTATATTTAAAGCAAATATGGATGTTGAGAAAAAAGTGACAAACAACAAAAAGTCACTTATAAAACCTGGAAAAACACATTTCAAAGGCTTACATAAAACACTAAATTTACTATTTTACCACCAGCTGCTTAGATGTCATTCCCTACTCTGTAACACACCACATATTTTTTGACAACGCCTATTTTTTGTAGCAGGCCAGCATGTAATGATATAACAATATGACTAATAAACTGTGGAGAGGTTTAACTAAACAACATGAATTCTAACTGACTTCTTCGTCTTTCATCCCACATATCCATGTGTACAAGCCTAAGCTCTAAATCCCCACTTTTATACTAATCACAATGAGCAACTGATTTTGTAGAGGTGTGCTTCTTTGCTTTACATAATCTTAATCCTGCAAGCACAAGTGCAACTGTTACCGTCATTTACTTAAATAAATAATTTATTTAAGTTTAGTTTACTTAAATAAATGAAGGTGACCTCATTGAAACAGTTTGTCCTTGTTTCAAAGGTTATTTGAAACAAGGACAAACTGCTAGCAAATTAGCTTGACCAATTAACTAGATAATAGAGTAACAGATTTAACATAGCACTTGTTAAATCTGTTATTCTATAAATGTGGAGTCACAGATGGAAAAGAAGCTACTGCTTCAGCCATTTTACATCAGAAAAATGTTTGAAATTTTACATAAAAACATGTCAGCCAAATAAGTAAATAATTTTAGAGGAACACTGCCACTTCCTGCAAATTTCCACAGGTTCAGTGGATGACTCTTTAAATATTTTAAGAAAATCAAGATGTAAAAATGTAAACATATTTCACATAACAGAATAAGTGAGCTACATGCAGCTTTCCAATTCCAGGATGGGACTTAAGTGTTTTTACACCTAAAAGGTGACTTTATTGAAACAGTTTGCCTAGGCACTGTCTGTGAAAACTGCAGTCGCAAGCGTTGGAGTGCCTCAGACAGGACATTTTTGCAACATGTGAGACTTGCATGCTACAAATGTGTATTTGTATAATGGACAGAAATATGCATGCACATATTTGACAGAACATGGGTTTTTTTTCTGCACAATGTCTTCATTCTCACTACTTGTCTTTTATGTTGTGCTCTGGTTTTCTACAGTGTTGACAGTGACAGGGTTTCTGTCAACACTGTCACCCCTATCAATAGGGATCACTTGCATTATTTATATTATAATTATAAATAATGTATTATATATTATATGATGTATTACATGTATATTATCATTAAACATCTGAAAAAATTTCCAAAAAATACTGACAAATTATGGCTATTTCAGGTATAAAGCCAGTTAGCATCCCCAATGCTAGGTTTATGGTTGATGAATCTGGCGTGAAGCAGCATGCACTAAACATGTTGCCCCTGCTGCTTTTGTTCCATAGAACAAAATAACAAAACTAGAGCGTTCCTTAAAACAACAAACACATAAAATAAATGTAAAAATATATAAATACATTTAAAGACCCAGAGTAGACTTGTTAAGGCCAAACTTTAAGATGATTAAATTTAAGAATTCTTGTGACTCTTTAAGATTTTGTAGAAATATTGACTTAATTCAATTCAGTTTGCTTATATTTAACAACAAATGTCATCTCAAGGCACTTTACAAATGAAACCTCTTTAAATTCAGTCATACATACATTAATATGTTACTTCCCTGAACTTTAATCTCAGCTGGTTTCTTGTGACTCTTGTGATGTCATCAATCCAAATACAAACAAAGCAGTTTCTGCAGGGTTTTTCCTGGATTTGCTTTGTATTTTGCAGTGAAATTAATACACTATCAGTAATATATATTGGTAATGTATATTTTTAGTGAAACAAATACAGCAGAGGGCAGTATCTTTAAACTTTTCGTTTAAAGATATTGTAACAGATCTAAATACAGATCCGGGACATTTGCTGCTTAAATTTGTCAGACAATGCCCTCTTTTTAACTGAGCTGCAAATATATTTATTGACCGATTAGAAGTCCTCATCCCGAACGTTGCACCCATGTTCTGTCAGTCACATTTCGCCCCACAACAACGCGTGGAGTGCCAGCCTGACAGCACGCACACTCACAGCCCCACTACCTCCTCTACATATCTGGAGGGAATGTCACATTGGCTAAACGCTCTCTTCATATGTGTTCGGGTTTGTTCTTGCGTTCATAGATTAGTAAGAAAGGATTGTAAAGTGTGTGAGAAGCCGTGTCTTCATGTAATAAGCCTGAAGCGCTTCAGCGAGAGAGAATGGAGAGCTGCATGTCAACCGACGCACGAGACAGATGTTCAGCTGAATAGAAGTTTCCGCAACAAGATAAAAGCGGGTCTAAAACACCACCAACACACGGGGGGTTTTGAGATGTTGTTTTGAACAGCAGTGTGTTTCTGAAAATGTTTTTTTTTTTCTAGGTAACAACAAACAAACAAACAAAAAAACGTCAAACCGTTAGCTTTAAAAGAAGAGCAGACGTACCACGAAGAGTCCTCACAAAATGCCCTGAAAAACTGAGTGGAAGTCACTCCGGTTGATGCGGGGGAAACAAATTAAAGTCCTTCTTCTCTCTCGTCTCTCTCGTGGTAGTTTGGTTGGAGGAAAACGACTGTTCGCAAAGTTGTCCCCTCACTACGCCCCGTACTAAAAGCTTTTAAGTTCACGAGCGTCTATCTGCCTGTTTTACTGCAAGGGTTTTCGAGGAGGGGCGGGGCCTGAGGGAGGAGGAGAGCCGCGAGCGAGAGGAGAGAGTCGCTAAGCAAAGCGCGCGGTCCCTTCAGACCGCACCGGGTCGCTCTGAGGAACAGGTACCGGGACCACTCTCCTCACAGACGTCATGAGTTTGATCCGAATTTGGCATATGGTTGATTTGTCGCTCGCGTGTGCAATACCGTGCAAAACCTCAATTACCCTGTAAAACTACAATCTAGGTCAGTCGCATTGCATGGGGATTCAGTGATGTGCATCAGCTTTGAAAGACATAAACAGTCTTTTTCAGCCATCTTCACGTGATGAAGACTAATTAAGACTGCTGCTAGTGATGACGCACACATAAGCATGAGAAACACATGAACTGGAGTGACATCCCATTGTTACTCCAAATAATGTTTTCTTATTACACCCCATACAGCAGACAGAGGAACATTTCATAGTAAGGAAAATGTCCCACATGACATCCTTGGGTACCTTGCTGGAACATACTAAACTTCAATTCAAGGATTAAGGTGGGTTAATAAATACTTTTGGCAACATAAAATACTAATACACTCAACCGCATGCTGCTGCCACCTCCCTGTCCAAATGGAGATAGTTTGTTTAGGCTGATGTGTGCAGAAGGTGAATCTCCTCAATCTCCACTCATCCATAAAAGGCCAGATTTGTGTTTATATGAGTGACTGAATACCACTGCATGTCACACTCTTCAGATATGTGTTTGTATAACATTTTGATTACCAATTTGCGAGGCATGACAGATAAAAAGACACTACCGGCAGACACTGTATACTAACTTACAGGAAATCCCTATCCTGCTGTTTCAGCTACTGAGGAATGCTTGCTTTCTGGCCTTTGCTTTATAGCAATAGCAGTTGGAAAACAATGGTTTTCAACTTTTCAGTAAGCCTAAATGTGACGCTCTTGATAATTAAACACTAATACCGCTTTACTCACTTTGTGACAAAGTCACCTTCCTGGGGTTTCACTCTGTTGTGGTTTTCCTGTATAGCTGCAGTCATTTCCTCATCAAAATCTAAGTGCCACTGAGTAGACATGCACATGTATACTCAATTTTCAAATATAAAACAGCTTTACTTATACAAATGCTACGCTTAAACCAGATTAATTTCATCGTCCTTGTCTTAATCATTTCTCACAGGTACATGATTGAATAATACAACCAAATTAACTGCAGGCGTTGCTGTTTATGAGCAACTGTTGAGAAGACTCTTCTGAGCCGTCTTCTGCGGCTGACGGCACAGAAGAAATGAGCCAAGGAGCATGTGATGAGACTTAAGCTTTCTAGTCATGCTAGAATGTCAATTTATGATTAAAAACAGAGTCTGATTATTGTCTTCAGTTAGATTTTTGTTAACACACACATGGTTGATTAGTCTGGAACTGTAGAATCAAGAAATCACTTGAACTCAACCAAACAGCATGAAATAGGTTGATGGATATCCAAAAAAAAAACATCATGCTAAGATCTAAGGAAATTCTGCAACAGATGAAAAACAATATATCTCTCAGTTTGGAAAAGGTCAAAATATTAATTCCTAAAACTGTCCTCAAATGGAGAAACCTTTTTAAAAGAGGTGAAGCCTTCCCTGCCAAGATCACTGCATCCAAGACTTCTGTAATAAATATAGTTGATCTGCTGAGAGTAGAAACACATCACAGTTGTACTTTTTTTTATTATTATTGGAATTTCTTCCAATTTCTTCTCTGAAAAACTGCTGAGTTGCTTTGATAGGTGTGATCTTGACTGCTGTGCAACTGTGGGCAAGGTTAATTTCAAGGACGCTAGTCACCCCTAACAAGATGGAACTTGTGACAAGAAGGAACTTTTGCTATGGAAAACACACAAACGCACGTTTAGTTGCAGATTTGGAAAGATGAAAAGAAAACATGTGCCATGGAGCACGTCACTTTACATCTCAGACATCTGCGTGTTTCTGCTAAACCGATTATTTACATCATGTTGGGGAAGAATGAAGCATGCTACAGAGCATTGGAAAAAATGAGAACTGACATTTTGTGGTGCATGGATACCATCTTCTGCATTAAATCTCATGCAAGTTGTAACACAATATCACTACAGCATGAAATACCAACCTGTGATCACAGAAAGAAATACCACTTTTATCAGGAAAGACCAAACATTGGTGTCAAACTCAGGACCAAATGGCCTTTTCCTCTGGATAAAGACCCCACTCTGTGGGAATAAAAAGTGAACAATCTTTGCAAGATTTTGCTTAGATCTTCTGGAGCATATAAAAATGATTTTGTGCGTATCTTCATCAGTCACTGGGCAGCAGATGGAGTACACCTGGGACAGCTTTCCACTTATTCAGATTTCAAATAGTATGTCAGGAAAAGTTTGGGTATATCAAGGAGGCCACGGTGAAGACTTAATCCAGTGATAAAGGGGTCAGAGCAAACTATGAAGTAAGTGAAGTATGATGGAGCGGAGCTATTAAATGTTTTATGAGTTGACTACAAAATTAATTTCAATCTGATGTAAACATGGCCTCAACAGAGCAATAAAAATTTAATTGTTTTTTTCTCCTTTTTTTTTTAAAGAAAACATCATCATCAACATCTGCCTATGCTTGCTCCTTGTCACCAGTAATCCTTCTGGTGTTCGTGGACAGGATCTCCAGGCACACTCTTGGAACGATGTTGTCTCGATTGGGAGAGTCAGACTGTTGTGTATGGGGTTTTTGGGGGGTTTTTTCTTTGCAGATGATGCGGTTCTGTGCGCATCTTCAAGTCATGATCTGCAGCATGTGTTGGAGGCGTTCGCAGCTGGGTGTGAAGTGATTGGGATGAGAGCCCGTTTCTCTAGACCCTACGTCATCGATTACCTTGATCCTCCTGGGTTGCATCTCAGTAACTGACCCAACCAGAGACATCAAAGTATCGTATTTCTTGTTTCCACTGAGAGAAAGGGTACGGCTCTGCGTTTTATGGTTTGCCGTATTTAGGACAGTCTGTCATTCCAGTTCGATGACAAAAATGAAGCACTAGCATGTTAGTGCTTGTTGCAATCAGTGACGTTTTTCTTTCCCTCAAACAAGGGAACTGTGTCATGTGACACCACTCGCTCCACTCTTGTGGATTTACAGCTGAAGTGGGTCCAGGAATGGTGTGGTCCAGGTCAACTGTATGAACCCCTTCTAGAATGGAAACAGACAAAAAAAAAAGCGTATCGAATCACACACCAGTGCTAATTAATGAAAAAGAGCCTATTGTGTCTTGTACACAACTTCCGATTTAAAAAGTGTCACTCTCAATTTACTCGTCCTCATCTATGGTCATGTAACATGGATCATTACTGAGGGTATGCAATCTTGGATGCAGTCTGCATGTCAGGTTTGTCAAGCAGCAGGCCTCCTCCAAGATGTTTTAGATGTGAAATCTAGCACACCTGATTCAAATGATTGCATGACCTTGACGGCATTTCATGTATTGCTGCTGATACCTGTTAATCATCCAGTTATTTAATGTACCACTTACCTTTTTGAGCTTTACTTTGGATGTATGGATGGTTCTCAATTGGTCTTCAATAGAATGTAACTAATCAACAGCAAAAAATTGTTGATAAAGTTGTTTGTAAAGGTTAGCTAAATCCTTTACAAAACACCCAGTGGGAGTTTGGTGGACTAGGTTAACCTCATCCAAAGTCACCGCAGCGGTTAAATTCTGAGGTCTGGAGCCTGGGCCAAGAAATTGCTGGGAATTAAACAGTGAATTTTGTATCACATTAAAAAGTGCTTAGAGAACCCTGGAGGTCATCATCTGTCTGAAAGCTGAATCTGAATCAGAGGGGGGTTATTTCAACAGAACAACGATCTTTAGATTGGCCCTGAAAACATTGTTTATTATAGAAAGAAAATCCTCCAACGTCTCGCTGCTCAACGAGTAATGCGTGGATGAATGTTTCAACATTTCATTAAACTATTCTAAGAGAATGCTGGACAACGACAGATGTTATTTAGAAGAAAACAGCAAAAATCTAACATTTAGAAGAAAAATAGAACCCACAATCCACAGAAAAATCTGAAATTTCTTTGAATGAAACATTTTAATTAATTTATTTATTTTACATTTGCAGTCTCACAGTGTGCATTTTTCTTTTCAAGCTTTTGCATTTAACAGTGAACAGAACATGTCTGGATCACCACATGAATCCCTTCTGATTCGTAAGGTCTGGCTTGGGAAGAGATTGTTTCTGGACGCCTGCCGACTTGTGCAGCAGGGTGGTGAGAGAGGGTCAAAAAAAACAAACAAAAAAAACAAAAACAGCATCCTTCTTCCTCTTTTTTAAACACACAAAGCCAACAAAAAAAATCCAAAGTTAACACCGGCCTCCTCCAGCTGGCTCTCACCAAGAGTTGGACGGTGCCGAGCAAATCAGTCCTCAGTGTTCTCCCTTTGATTTCAGACACCTATAAACAGTAAGAAAAATGGAAGAATTTTTATTGCTGTACAGCACTAGTGTGGTTGTAAAAATCAGTATTGTGTGGTAAATCATTGCCATCCACACATCTGAGCACCATTAAGACTGGTACTCCTTCTAATTCTTTTTTTAAGCACTCCATGTGCTCTTTGATCAATCAAAACATCTTCACTTGTTTTCTAACTTTCACCACCTGCATATGGGGCACATTAATAACCAGAGAGGTTAGGTCATAGTTAATAAAAGACGCTGATTGATAACAGGTACGGCATGTAAGCCGTTGATCCCGTTGTTATTGTCGGCTCTCCTCCTGACAAAGTCAACTTTAGAGCCAAATATGTGCATAACTTTCAGATTCCTGAAAAAAGAACTGATGATTTAAGGTCCAATAACCAGGAGCAATCCACTGCACTGCCTCAACATTTCCCCATCGACATCCTGACATAGGCGAAACATGACACAATGCCTTGAGAATGCATTCACTGTCTTGACCTTGTTCATTTTTTGTTACATTAGAGCCTCTCTGAAATTTTTTGAGTTTATTTCGCAGAACAATACAAGGTAAGAGCATAACAGCAACGCAGAAAGAAGATGATGCAGGGTTCAATAGATTCTTTTAAAGAATTTTTTGAATAAATTCTAATTATTTATTATTATTTACTTTTTTAGGGTGCTATGTACTTAAGTGTTCTTTCATGGTTTTGTTTGACATGCTTAGTATTGTGTTAGTAGTTTTGCTTGACTCCTGTGAAGTTTGTAAGTGTTTAGAAACAAGTTATGCAAATACAATGTGTTATGATTTCTATTATAAATTCAAATTTCACAAGTTGGATTTTTCCAGTTTGCTCCAACACCCCTATCTAAAATCCCCCTCCAAAAAAATTGCCTTCAAAAGACTCCCAATTAGGAAATAGACTCTCCCTGTCAGTAATCTAAAAAATGCTTTCTACATCTTTGTCTATTTGGCTCTGAGCCTCTCTTCATCCTGATCTTTCTGGTCTCCAGTGTACAGTGTGTCCACCTTTACATGATCCTGCGGGTGAAACAATCCCTGGTAAACAGTTCCGCCTCTGACGATTATAATTTGCTATGTACAAGATGTGTATTGTGTACTGTATATCCTTCCAAAAGTCATCACAGTTTCACAGTTTTCAAAAAGACTCTCCTTTGCAAAGTGACTGCAAAATAGCCACTGTGAAACTGTCTTAGACATAGCACTGCGTCATTTATTTATAATCAAGCTGCCTTAAAGAAAACAAGAACACAATCAAATGAAACAATATTGGGCAATTTCGAATAACTGACAGATGTCCATGTTTCCAGGCCATGTCTACTTGTTTACAGAGGAGTAACAGTTCATCCATTTTTAAAATAGCCAGTGCTACCTCACTTCTGGAACATCAGGGGGCTGAGCCTTCCTTTATGACCTCCTCCCATCTGAACAAGTTTCCTGTTATTGTCAGCCAAACACACACACACACACACACACACACACACACACACACACACACACACACACACACACACACACACACACAACACACACAAATGTGGCCATGTGTACTGCCAGGATTCCAAAATCTGTTCTGTGTGCCACTGTTACACTTTCCCTTTCCGAAGAGCCTCAAATCTGGTCCTGGTTTTCAAGAGTTTAAAAAAAAGACAATGCTTTTAAGGTAATTGTATCCATCTCCACTTTCAATCTCCCAAAACTGTGAGTTGTCATAAATTTTTGCAAAATAATGGAAAGTCAACACGTCATTTTATAAAATGAAAAAAATTCAAATAGGAAATATTTATGTTATGAATTGGCAGTGGAAAAGATTATGTCCACAATTACATCCCTCTACACGGAAAGTCATATCTAATTACATATTTTTGCTTCTGGCTCCATCTTGTGGTCAAAAAATATAAACGCTCAAAGCCTTCAGGCTGGTTTTGGATCATTATGCAGCAGCAATATAAAAAAGTATGCTGTTGTCCTACACAAATTATGTCATAAATTACACAATTCAGTTTTGGCTTAGAAACAGTTTTGTCAAAAATACATTTTTGACAAAACTGGAAAATATGGCTGGATTTTTCAGCCATACAGGCAATTTTACAATTTTATTAGTTTTTTGTGACTTTAGAGGAATTTCTGGCTCCAGACATGGAAAAACACCTAAAATCACCAGTTTGGAGAACTCTATCATAATTTAGTCCTTGTAAAACTTGTGCAAATTGTTATACTTGCCCATTTTTCTGAATGCTGCCTTGTATTAACTAGCAGGTGCCATCATAAAGCATATATTTTTGTGTGTGTGTGTCATTGGCATCATTCTTTCAAGCGATGATAATTGCAGCAGATTTCAATGAATGTGCATCCACAACAAGCAGTGGTTCATTGGAGTGTCAGGGCTTCGCTGTCCTGCATGTTCTTTATTAAGTCATTTATTTTTTGTTCTCTTGGGTTTACCTGCTGCCCAACACGTGGTTTGGATAAGTGGGTAATTAACACGGTTCTCCATGAGTTAATGGCATGTTGAGAAGGTAATGCAATCATTTGAATCAGCTGCTTGGGAGCAGGGAAGCAATTAACTTAGCAATAGGCTGAGGACCAGCTTCAGGAACCACTGCTGCACTCCAGCTTTGTATATAACCAAATGAATCTTTATTTGGAATGACTAAGGTTTACAACAATCCAGTTTTGTCATGATATTAGTTGCTTTAAGGACTTAATTTGCTTATGCATTAATTGCCATTATTTAATAACACTTGGTTGTGAACTTTACTTTTTAGGGTGCAAATGTAAATTGAAAAGTAGAAGTTAACATATATAGCCTACCCTTTCTGAATTGCTACCCTGTTTCCCCTACTCACATATGGGCTTCTAAAGCTTAGAAACAGTTTCCTGTGTCAGAATCAGTTCATCTGTGATTGATTCTCTGGGGTTTTGAAATGAACCAAAAGTCTTGCACTTAGCAGGATTGCTTGAACCTGGCTTGATTAGGATGTTCCTCTGCAGCTTGGTGGGACATTCATGAAAGCGATTCAAGCAACCAGTTCTGCACGACTTGCTCAAACTCAGATTTCTTATTTTATTCTGGATGAGTTTACTTTTGCACAACAGTCTCTCGGATTAATAATAAAAATACTTTCCAATCCGAAATACAAGACGATGTCTTCGGTTCTTGCACAGGCGGCTTTTTCTTTTCCAATACATGTCGCATGCTGTCGTAAAATAAATTAATGAAACAAACGTGGACTTGTAAAACATGGTCCATACACACTCAACTGTTCAGTTCACAGGAAGCAATCATCCGTCCACTTCCAGTGGACTTGGTAAAAGTCTTTTGTCCCCATATCGTTCGCAATCTGGACTATTTTAAGTAATGGAGATTCTAATGCCGGCTGAAGGGTTGATTTGGATACCTTTCAAACCTATTGGTGATTTACGAGTCAATACTCCTTATGGAAAGGTCAGGAAACAGGGCGGCTAATGCTAATGCGGGGCTAATTTGTCATTACAAACATGGTGTGTTAGATTTCACATTTCATATCTCAGAGATTGTTTTGCTGAAGCTAGCTTGCCTACCAGCTTTCTCGTGCACGAGCTATTTCGGCTTCAGGTCGCCCGCTAAGCTAGCTGAGCTGCTCAGCGTTGAAACGCATCGAGCTTTTGTTTCAGTGAGCTTCAGTTATTCAGAGTCAGAAGTCTCCCGTAGTGACAGGAAGTTGCATTTTTTATCTCCTCCTAAACATTACTATTTAGTTTTATTTATTTTTTTCATAATCTTCCTAAACTCATTATTTAATAATGTTGGAAACGATGTGTCGCGTGCTAGCTATAATGCAAAGCCCAATCAGTTGTAGAGGCTGTAGGGCTATAAATGTGAGATGGTTGCTATAGAGACGCCAGCGACTGAAGAGCTGAACTCAGGAGACCGACAGATTTCGGAGGGTTTTTTTTTTTAGGTATGTAGCATACTAATTGAAGACTAAATTGAATATTTCATGTGCGAAAATGCTTATTGGTATGGCGGTTATTATTTCAACAACAACAAAAAAAGTCCTATGTGCAAGCGAGTTTGTTTAAAATAAACTTTTAGTTAAACTGGCCTTTAGGAAAGGGAGGACGCTAGCAAAACGTTAGCTATGCTAGGTGTTGGCGTGAACAAGTTTCGGTAAAACTTGCCTTTTCTTCGTTGCGATTACTTTAAAAGGCAAATAATGTCACGAAGGTGACAGTATGTTGCCCCTGCTTTAGACATTGAATGGGTTCTTAAATAAAAGCCATGCTGGAATTTTTAGTAGAAAGTGTACTGTTGAGTTCTTTCCAGAAACCGAACTATGATCATGTTCACTGCTCTGGCTACTAACGTTGGTTGCAACGCTAGCTGGCGGTAACTCGGTGAAGCGAACTGACCTGGAGCCAACAGGTGGAAATGTTCAGAGAACTTGGTAGCAGTGTAACGTCCTCCATTTCGTACCGTCTAACACGGTATGCATACAAACACCGTAAGGTTGTACTCACTTGCTAGATAAAGGAAACATCCCCCAAAATTGTTTGCAGTTATTGGCTCTCTAGCTGCCCCATGACTTTTTTTATGTTTTTATTTCCCCCACCGGAAGAAATTATTATTGCTTTAAGTTTAACAACTTGAGAAACTAATCAATATTTTATTACGTCCTTACTCTATGTCTAAAAAATGAATATGTTAGAAGGGTACTCTAATCGGTGAATAAAAGTTTATAGAAGCAAAACATGACAGTAGCGCAATTGCTGGTCTTTTTCCTTAGTGGTTCTGATAAATAGTTACAGGTGCAGCTCAAAATATGTATATCATGACAAATGTTTTTCATGATATGTTTGTAAATGCCAGTGAACCAGCTTGTGCTGCTGTGCTTTGAAACATTTATCTACAGACCTATGTGTAGGTTAACAGACTCTGTAAACAGCATTATTCACACTTTGACTGATCTTGTTCAAAGCTCGGTGAGGTTCTTCTCTAGTTTGTGGAATCATTGTGAATGATTATTTTAATTCTGTTTGTTTTTTATGAACCCTGTTTGTGTCTGACAAAATAGGATTGCTTGATTGATTGAAACTTCAATATTTTTTGTCACTTGATTCACAGAATGAAACAAGTCAAGACTCCCCCCCACCCCCCTTTTTTTTGTAAATTTGATTATGACTAGTTATGGAAATCAAAAATTGAGTGGCTCACAAAAATAAAATACTATGAAAATGTTACTTATTGGCTAAAAGCTAAAAAAGCTGCTTTTTCTGGGGTTGGAAAGTTCAGTAGAAGAAAAAGATGCACCAGTGATGGAGATAACTGCAGCCTTGAGAAGTTTGTCAAGCAAAATCCTATTGAGAATGTGTGGGCTAATGAGACACCAGACCCAACATGGTAGATGACCTGAATGCTGATGTCCTCCGGGCCACGCTGCATCAATCCAGTAGTTCTTGCAAAAAGAGGCGAAAGGAGTGCAAAGAAATGAACATTGCATAGAGATGAATATTTTTTACTGCTTAACATTGTTCTAATTTCTGACACGCTGAACTTTGTGCTTTTACTATCTATAAGACATAATCATGACAATAATAAAAATAAAGGCTTGAAATATTTCTCCATATGTAATAAATCCATGTTAAATTTAAGTTTGACTTTCTCAAATGATTGAGAAAACGATTAGATTTTTGTTTCATAATATTCAAATTTATTTAGGATGACGTGAACAGTTTAATGACTTTGGGTGGGTATTATTTTCTGTGATGCGTGCTCTGCATTCTTGCCGACGGGGTCTTTCACTGAACAAGCTCCTGTGATTGGCCATTAGAAGGTGGAAAATATTTTTCAGCATTGTCCTTCACTCGAACAGTCATCTCTAAACTCAGAAGTCCTTCCTTTTTTAATGCGTTATCTTCACCTTTATGTATGTTGTCCAGGCCCAGTTTTCACTTAATTTTTTTAATAATAATATTCTAACTTGACTTACTGAAAGTGTAGTGTCTTAATTGGAGACATTAACTACTAGGTTTGTTTCTTCATCAGGAAGGTTTGTGATGAGCTCTCCGTTGCAGCAGAGCGTTCTCCAGGCTCCCTCGTTTCATCAATGCTTTTAAACAGGATGGCTGATGTGAAACCCTGCCCCTCCGTGAGCGGAAACCCACCTCCACCAGAGGTAGTAAATCCCAGGAGGCCCGGGCGCCTGACCAATCAGCTGCTATATCTGGAGAAGGTGGTGATGAAAGCGCTCTGGAAACATCAGTATTCATGGCCGTTTCGTGAGCCCGTCGATGCTGTAACGCTTTGTCTTCCAGTAAGTGCTTCAGTTGTCACTCAATGTTTGACTGGTGCAGCACCTTGTGAAAGAATTCAAACTCATTAAACTTTTCATACATTTTCTCTTTTTTTTTTTTTTTTTACAAGCACAAACTTTCTTTTAGGATTTGTCATGGATAAACACAATATTTATAAAGAAAGAGGAAATTAACCAAAAAGAATTTAAAGTTATGTTGTTTTTTTGTTTGACTTCAATTATGTGCTACTTGTGTTGGCCTGTCACCCAAATTCTCCATGAAGTCCTGTCAGTCCTCTGGTTGTATTGTGACATTGGGGAGTTTAAATGGCTTTACATGGTACTGCAATCCACTTGTTGTCTTTGGTTAGAAACCAAAACGGTATTCAATTGTGGGCTATTTTCATGTATGTTTTTAGGATTATTATAAAATTATTACATATCCTATGGATCTGAGCACCATCAAGAAACGACTAGAGAACCGATATTACTGGGAAGCCAGTGAGTGTGTAAAAGACTTCAACGCCATGTTCACCAACTGCTACATGTACAACAAGGTGAGAACACGATGCAATACGGCACACTGCTATGTTTGTTTTTCTGTGTCTCAACTGAATCTAACTTGTCTGTTCTGACTGGAATCAGTATTGCTGTTTTGGATTTGGCTAGCCAGATGGAGATTAATGGAATGGTAACAAGGCCTTCCAGCCTCAAAGATTTCAATAAAATGAATGGTTCAATGACTTGTTATCTGCTGTACAAAGTATTTGATTTGCTGTAATACAGATAAAGGCTTTCCCTCTGCTTGCTTAAAAAGTGATAAATAATATTCAACATGCAGGAGATGGGGGTCTGCTGTTAAAGTTGTCTTCATTTATTTCAAATGTCTTCACATCTTCAGCAATGGCACTCCAGGGACATTTACCCTCCTGGGAGATGCCTGTCATTTCCTGTCAGTAATCATTTTTTTTTCTTTTTGGTTTCTTGCTCAACTGGATGTAAACACATGTAGACTCCTGTTCACTTGATGTTTGATTGTTTTAAATAGAAGTGCTGTAGCTCTATGGCTAAAGTCACTAACCCTCCATCCTTTCTTTCTTTCCATAGCCTGGAGATGATATTGTTTTTATGGCCCAAACCTTGGAAAAGGCCTTTTTGCAGAAATTGTCACAAATGCAAAAGGAGGAGGTGGTCACTACAGTCACTGCACTTGAACCACTGAAAGTGAAGAAAAACAACACAGGTGAGTCAGAAATTGGATACTTCATGTTTTCTTTTTTTTTTTTTAAGTTGATACATTTAAAAAAAATGCTGCAACAATTATTTATCTATCAATTATTCTGATTAATCAGATAAAAGAAATTGTCAAATGTTGCAGATTTTTTCATTTGCTTTTTTATACTGTATTAGAAATGCATTTAAAGACAAAAATAATTAAATTCCTTTTTTAAATGAACTACTTTATTGCCTAATATTGCCTATTGCAGTAACAGCAGCCCTTTAGTGAATACTTGATCATTTGTACCAAAGGAGGCATCTGCAGCTTAAAAAAGAAAGAAGGCGCTGTGGAGAATTTATCTGTTCTCCATGCTCAGTTCTTGATGTATGAGGTTGAAGAAGAGTCAGTGAGTTAAATTCATGAATTCCATTTATTAATACCAAAATACACCTGGTCCATTTCTTATGCTACCTTTAGGAGTTAGTGGGACAAAATGGCACCAAACAGAAGTTTTCCGTTCTCTTTGTTGGCCTTCATCTAAGCTGTGCCCAAAGAGGACGTTCCTCAGTGTGTCAATATTTGAACCCTGAATTAAAGCTTTAGTTTTCTTACTATTGGTTTAGTTTGAACTGAAGTTTTGGAGCTAAAACTGCCACTTTAGGAGTCCTGGGTAGAACAGATTTAACTTGGATGTAGAATGTCTAGACTTTTATATATTTACATGTTTAATTACTACTCTCACTGTTGTTCTTTCCAGAAAATTGCCTTTTTTTACTCTGTATCCTGCAGTTAATGATTAACCAATTACCAAATTAGTTGATCATTTTGTCAATAGCCGAGTCATTCCGATTAATTGTTTCAGCCATAAACTAAAGTACTGTACTGTTTTTATCCCATAGCAGACTCTTCCAATAACTGCAGTGACCTGTCTAACATGTAAAGTTCTTCCCAGCCCATGCGAGTGTTTTTAATCCCCACTTGAAGCAGATGCAGTGAAGCAGAAGTCTGGTATATCAGACGTTGTTCTCCAGCAGATGGTGACGGTCATTCCTCCCGATGTGGCCCAGATCAACCCACCCAACCAACTTGCTGCAAAAACACACACAACAGTAAGCTTTGATTTGCTCATGCGGCTTGTGTCCTGAATTTGTCTGCATGCCGCAGTGAACAACACAGAGCTCATCTCTTTCCTCTCCCGTCTGGATATTCAGATTAAAAAAGCCTTGAAGCGGAAAGCCGACTCGGCAACATCCGCCACCTCCGTCTTCACAAACAGCGAGGTCTCCCCTGATGAGGAGCCTTCAGTGCCTTGCACATTGTTCTTCAGAACAAGCAACGGACGGCCCATAAAGCCCCCGAAGAAGGACTTGCCTGCTTTTGAGGACAAGAGGGTCAGAATGCCAGAGCAGCTCAGGTACTGCAACAACATCCTGAAAGAAATGCTGTCCAAGAGGCACTATGCCTACGCCTGGCCCTTTTACACGCCGGTGGATGCAGTGGCTTTGGGGCTCCATGACTACCATGACATCATCAAACAGCCGATGGACCTGAGCACCATCAAGGTAACGCTATAGAGACGTCAGAATATTTGAAGCATTCCAAAATCCAGTTTGTTCTGATGCAAGTTTTAAACTCTAGAAAAAAATGGACCAGCAGGAATACGGAGACGCCAAGGAATTTGCTGCTGACGTGCGACTAATGTTCTCAAACTGCTACAGATACAATCCTCCATCACATGATGTTGTCTACATGGCCAAAAAACTGCAGGTATGCTGCTCTTCCTGTCTAGTATAGGGTGAGACCAGCAGATTTACACCCCAATGTAAGTATGATTGAGCCAGTTTGAAGGGACACAAAGACGCTTTCCAAAAGTATCTGATTTGATCCCAAGAAACTTTAACAAAAAGAGATGATCAGACAAACACATTCCCCTTTTGGTGAAAAGTTTTTTTTCTTGTTTCAACAGGAGGTTTTTGAAGCCCGCTACATGAACATTCCCCAAAAACCAGAAGGGTGTTCTGTCTCTCTGCAATGTGCTGAAAACCAGCAGTCGAACAGAGTCGGAAGTCCCTCAACCTCTGAGAGTTCTCTGAGCAACAACTCCTCGGAGTCAGAGAGGTCATCAGATGAGGTTGCCATGCAGCTGGCTCATCTGGAAGAGAAGGTTGGCATCACACAAGCACAACTGCAATATATTTTCCCCTAATTTCCCTCATTTTCTGGTTATTTTGGCAGTTGAAGGCGGTCAGCGATCAGCTGAAGCAGCTCACCAAAGAGCCTCCGAAGCCGAAGAAGAAAGAGAAGCTGAAAAAGGAAAAACGAGCCAACGAGAAGGGCCTTTCTCGACTGAAGAACGTTTCTGCGAAATACAACACTATAGTGCAAATGATTTCGAAATGCAAAAGCACCTCTCTGTAAGTGTCACAAAATGGAGTTTGGTTTTCGAACCATACAGCTGGCATTAGCCCAAGATGAACTGTTAATTGTTGTTTTGTTTTTTTGCGTTTTCAGGCATGGAGTTAAACCCCACAATTCCGGAGTCCCAACGAAGTGCAGCGAGGTCGTTTCAGTCCCACTGAGTAACCAGGAGAAGACGCAGCTAAAGGCAGACATCGACAAGCTACCCAGTAAAAAACTAATCGAGATGCTGAACCTCATCAAGAGCAGGGAGACGTGTTTGGAAACGGCTGAATCCGGAGAGGTGGAAGTGGACTTTGAAAAGCTCAAAGCTTCCACTCTTAGAGCCTTGCAGCAGTTTGTTGCTGCCAGTCTCAGTAAATGCAACAGCAGCAGAAACAGTAAGAACACTTCACCTCCTCCACTGCTCAAGCTTTACTCTGTCAGTCTTTGTTTTTTATGCTATTATCCATCTAAATGACTGTTTAAGGTGTTTATGTGTTTTGTGCATTAGAAAAAAAGTTGTTGATCCCCAAAGGAGGACTGAAGAATGAAAAAACAAAGGAGGGTGGAAAGAGATCAATTATGGGCAACAAAAAGAACATGTTGATGAAACAGAAACCACTGGGTAGGATCGGGTCAACACGTTTCAGGGATCTGCTTCCTAATTTGAGTGTCTGAGATTTATTTATTTATTTATTTTTTGCTTTGTTTTTGTGAACTGTTTAAGTTGAAGTCTCGGGTAACAGCCGCCAGTCGCCTTTCAGCAAAAGCAGCAGCTCCTCGTTCAGCTCCGGCAGCAGCAGTGACAGTAGCTCCAGCTCCAGTGACGGCAGTGACTCAGAATCAGGTTGGCTTCTCACTTTGTTCTCAACTTTTGGCTGGTTCACACAAATGTTAAACTGTTTCCACAAAAAGTTTGGAAAACCATTTTGATTCCCATGTTTAAATTTCCTGTGTTAGTATATCTTTTTTGTGAAACACTTCACTTTTTTTTACTTACCTCATACTCTAAGATAAATTTCCAATAAATTTGTTCACACAATAAGAGCATTTATTTTATTTGACATCTAATCCACATTCTTGTCTTTTTTTTAGTTTAAAAAAAAGTCCATTTTACTACAATAACTAACAGTCACATTTGATCTTTTTCGTATTTGGTGTCACTCAGATTAAATTTCTTTATGAGACTATTTTTTTTTTAAGTCTATGGATAATATATTTAGTCAGCTGTAAGTTAGTGATAAACCTTTCTGTTGTTGGATGGTGAAAGTATATGACTTATCAAAAAGCTTTTCATTGAAGTTTTTGGTACTTGCAATAATGCAATTCTACCACAAGGTGGGAGTAATGCACATGGTTTGCCCACAGCAATTTGCCAGTTATACGTGTGTGGAAAAGGTATTCTATATTTAATTCTCAAAACCTGGAAAGGTTTGTAATTTTTATAATAGTCACACCTTGACTGTGAGGGACGGACTCGAAAAGAGAAATGATGCAGAAAAACGCATTGCATAAAATAATTACCATATTTTATAAAATAGAACATAATATACATAACAGAAACTTTTGTTTAATTCCAGCCATTCCAGTGCTTCTTTGCCAGGTTGTCAAACCCTGCAGCAGGGATTTTGGCTCTTATCCTGAATGTTCAGGTTTCTGGACTGTCGCTGGCAACACAAAGTTTCAGCTCCCTCCAAAAACTTGCTGTTGGTTTCAGGTCATGGCGATACATGACCTCACCCATCCTCCCCTCAATACGGTGCAGTCCTCCTGTCCCTTCTGCAGAGATTCACACCCAAGCATGATGCTTCCACCACTGTGCTTCATGGTTACCATGGTGTTCTTGGTGGAGTTCATCCCACAAAGTTTTATTTTGGTCTCATCTGACCCCGCGACCTTCTCCCATGCTGGTTGGTAGTTGAATAATCAACTGCATAAACAATTCAGAAATTATTTAAACATCTCACAAAATGACTTTCTGGATTATTTTTAAAGTTTTTTTGATTCTGTCTCTCACATTCTTACAACAGGGAAAAACCTGAAAAAATGAGTGCATCAGACACATGCTTTCCCTTCTATAAGTCGTTCAAAATGACTCCTATAAAAGTCTTGAACAGTCTTGATTGTGTTTGCTGTTTAATTTGGAAAAACAGAAGCAAAGTGTGGCAAAAGTTGAGTTACTATTGTAATCCCTGAATATTGACACTGTGATCCAATGTACTGCTGAAAACATGCAGGAATTGGTGAAGGTCATCCAGTTTGGATCAGAAAGTTTTCCATAAAAACCTCGTCATGAATGTCATGTTAATTTGGCTTTCATGGAGTAGATCATCTATCGTTGATGAGCATGGCTGAGTGTTTATTAGATCTTCAAGATTGTGGCTATCTTGGATCTGACATTTTTTTATATGATTGAATGAAGAGATTGAAGAGATTGACCTTCTGCTTTACTCCTGCTCTGAAACCTCTTCAGGGCTTTACGATGGCATATTTGGGCCATTGTATGTTGGAAAACAAACACACACAAAGCAAGAGTAAGTTTCCACCAAAAAAATCTCAGCAATTTCCAATTTTTTTTTTCTAGAATATCTGAGGGGTTTTTTTCTAGCAAATTTTCAACCTCTTGAAACAGAAATTTCCTTTTTCTTTCTTTCTTTCTGGGATTAATTGAAAAGTGTTAGTATTTTTGGGGGGAATTTTACTTTTTTAACTACAAAGGCCATAATGCACTGATGTACGGACTGAAGGTTTTGAAATGTCGATCAGCTGCATAATTTTGCTTGTCAAACGTTTGTTTGACATGGTTCTGATTTTCTTTGCCATGTCTCTTGTTAAGCAGATTTTTGAATTTATTGGGACTTTCTGGTTGAATAAAGACAGAGTATTAAGAACAAATAATCGAATGTTTAACATGGCCTAAGATGAAAACTTTGGTCTTCCCTATCATTGAAAAGCTTGATTTGTGTGCTTCTTCCTATTGTTTTTTTTTTTTTTTTTTTTTTACAGTGCCAAAACTGAAGAAAATATCCAAGGATCCCTGTCAAAAAATTCACCAAAAGGTAGAAGCATGTTTTCCTCTTAGAATTACAACTTGCATATTGCAGTAGTGATGAATGTTTATCCTCCAATTAAAGGTGACCCACAATATAAGCAACAAGCGAGTATCGGAGATCAGACAGTCGGCGAAGGCCTTGATCAGAACCCATCATCCGTCACACCCCATTAAATCCACGCTTCTAGAAACTAAAAACGACCAAACACCCCAAATCCCAGGCCACTTCTATGACGAGCTGCCCATGTCCCCGCAAGGTAAATCTGTGGCTCCCCGAGCTTTTAGGAGGAATTACTTGATTTGTCACCTCTAGCTTCAGGCCTGATCTATCTCTTGTACGTTCAAGTAAACATTTTAGTAAAAGTGTTCAACATGGTGTAATTTATTGTTGGCAGATTTGTCGGCGCTCTTATCCCCCATGGCCTCTCCTGGAGCGCTGCCAGACTGGGCAGCTGCCAGATTTGAGGTACTCTTCACAAAATGGAAGAACTAAGCAATGTCAAGTTCTTACAAAGCCTTTTTTATTATTATTATTATTTCTGATGTTTCTGAAGTCCATTTGGAATTGGAATAAACTTTGGAACCAGATCTATCATTACAGTTAACAGAGGACATATACTGGTTTTACACTGAATAAAATCTCACTGTCTGAAGTTGAATGGGGCCAAACTTCTTTTGTTTAGAACTGCCAAATGATTTCTGTTTGCACTATGCCATAATACTGACATCGTCAACATTATTTAAAGAGACAGTGATCCTTCTGTAGGGAAACCTTTAGTTTTTCTTTTTTTTTAAGACATTGATAAATAAAACTGACATATTCTTTCTTTTATAATTGTGACATTTAGCAAATAGAAAAAAAATGTAACTTTAGTCTTCCCTATCATTGAAGTGGGGAAAAAAAATTATATGTCTTTATTTGGTGTATGCAAACTTTTTGTTTCAACTGTGAAATTTTTATTTGAATTATGTTTGCAATGTGCTTTAATTGTGAAGAATAGAATAGTTTGTCCATCGAGCAGGCTGTGTGTCCAGCATCAGGATGTTTCTGTGTAAAACCCAATGTCTCCTCTATCAGGGTGCAGTGCTGTCTCCTCTCACTGACAGTCCACTTCTCTTCAAAGAAGAGATGGGTGACAGTAAGTTCCTTAAAAATACATAATCTGATGTCACTATTGTCAGTCTAGAGGTATATTTATAAAACCTTTTTTTTTTCTTCTGGCAGTTTATTTGACGGATTTCCGGGATCCTGAAGATTTTCCTGATAGTCAAGCAAGCGAGCTCCCGCTCAGCCAGACTACGAGTAAATCTACTGAAGAGGAGAAATCCCAGATACCCAAAAAGGTTGGGGGAAAACCCTAACCAGAACAGATGAAAGTATTCCTAACCCACTCAGCTCTTTCAGACTAGCCAACAGCAATTAGCAAACACATGGTGGAACTGTGCTTATATAAGACACTTCTGGTGCAATGCTGGTAAAAATGTTGTTAAACGGTTAATAGAGGATAATAGCAGTGTTTTTTTTTTGTTTTTTTTTTTTTTTTTAAAGACAGAGGCCCTATTTTAAGGCATTAAATTAGGAAGTCACATTTGTTCCAAGTAATGTTTTATATACACAGCATTTTTTATAACAGCTGAAGGTAATGTCGTCACTTGATTGTGTTGTAAAATGACAACATTTTACAACATACATTTACAACTAGAAAATGTATGATGCTGCCCCTTTGAAGCAAACCTGACTCATTCTGTCACTTTTCTTTGTCAGGACATTTTCTTGAAAAATGCAGAGTCATGGGCAAAACTTGTGAGGCAGTCGGTCACTCCAGCTGCTATCAAGGCCTCTAAAGAGAGCTTCCAGATGTTCCGCAAAGCCGCCATAGAAAAGGAAGAACGGGAGAAAGCCCAAAAGAAGAAAGCATTGGATGAAAACGGAGTGATGGAGCCTGTTGAAAAGAACAGGTGTTCACCAGAGAACACAATCCCTTTTCCTCGTTTAAGTTAATTTAGTTGCTCTTTGTGTTCCTGTGACTCAGTTTGTCTCCTTCAGCTTTCCAGCTTTGGGTAAAACAGAGCAACCTCCGGAGAAGATTAAAGAGGATCCGGATTTGCTGGAGAGCATCTGTCCGGAGGCCGGGTTGGAAGCTCCCAAACGAGTGGAGCAGCCGAGGTCTCAAAGTGAAGCGACGGCCCAGAGCCAGCAGTTTTCTGTGGATAAAGAGCGAGAACTGGCCCGGAGGAAAGAGCAGGAGCGTCGCAGGAGGGAGGCTGTTAGTACACTGCTCCGTTTCTCACTCTGGAACATTTCCCTGCAGCACAGGGTTTCCCCCACTGTGCTATTAGCCTGGTGGGCCGCCAGGCTTTACTTGACCATGCTAAACATAATTAGTTTCTTTATTTTAAGTATTTTTTGGGGGTGGGATTTATACACCAGTAACGGTGATCAAAAACACAAGCAAGGCTCAGTTAACAGTATTGAAAAGATTGCAGTTGTCTTGAAAACCTCTGACAATACATGCAGTTGCCATTCTGCTCCAGTTTAAAGTGAAGCAGAATGGCAAGCTTAAGTATGAAGTTTTGACTCTTTCTACCTATTTTTTGCTAAAGCTTCAGTGAGCTTTAGAAGACAGCTATCTATTTATAAAGATGATGCATGCACATCACAGATTAGTTTTATTTAGTGTACTGCTGTGTTTCCTTTATTGTTGTATTAATTTCCAAAATTTTCTGTCAACTTTTAACATTTTAAACTTTTTAATGTTCATCTGCTGGACTGCCCCTAGCGCCGCTACCGACGGGTTTAGACAGTTGCTGGGGGAAACCGTGCTGCAGCCGTTGACATAACTTAACTGTTCTTCTCTCGTATAGATGTCTTGTATTGACATGACCATGCAGCGGGAGATCATGACCTCATTTGAACTTGGCTTGGACTGAAGAAGGAAGCTGCAAACCAAAGCTCTGCCCTCGAAGATCTTCAGTTGTCATGAGTGTCATGAGGTGTAACATTGTGAGATGCTCTCTCCGGCTTGAGGCAATAAACTTAAAGCCTGAAAGGTTAAACTATGGGAGGAGGTGTAAAAGATAAAATGCAAATGGATCCGACCTTCTGTTAGCATTTGAAATTTGCACTAACGCACTCTTAGTGTTTATAGCACTGTTATTATTTGAACTCACATTTACTACATTATTGTTCATCCTTTGACAGTTTACTGCATTTTTGTCAGAAATGTTACATTCTGTTAGTTCTTGGATTTAATCGATTCCTTTCAGGAGATTTACAATATAATTACTTTTTTTCGCAAATGCAGATTTGAGTGCATCATACATTCCTGCATTACAATAATAACATGTAGAATAATGGAATAGGGTTCAAAAGATTTTCCAGCTTGAAGATTTCCTTCAGCTTTTTGCTGGGCTATTATTACAATGTTAACTATCCATGTATGACCAAACTGCGTTGTTTGGTCATACATGCAGTTGTGACTGTTCTCCAGTCCTGAACAATAGTAGCAGATCGTCCAAGATGTTTGTATATGTTTAAAAAGGTTTTCTTTTAATTAACAAAATAAAGCTATTTTTCACTAATCAGTCTACACCGACCAATGATTAAGTCTGATATCTCATTTCTATTTTGCTTCTGCAAACTCCTTTGACCACAAACTTCATTTAAGTTGATCCACATTGTTTAATGTCATACTTTCATCTCTTAAGAAAAGGATTTTCACGGGGCTTTTGAGTGTTTATGAGGAAAACGTTGATCATCTCTGGAGCATTTTTTAATGTTAGAGGAATTCACTGAATGCTGAGTGCAGCCTCTTGTTTTTACAAATGTCCTGGATCACCTTTGACCTCTAACGCTTTATATATTTAGTGCACTCCTTTTGATTATTTCAAATAATCAAAATGATTATTTGCCATGGCTTATGTATATGAAACTGCCTGGTGAGATATTTGAAAAATAATCCAGAGCTGCTGATTGCAGTCTAAACACGCAGGCTCTGTTGTCATTGCGGTGTTGTTACCATAGCAGCGACGTGACGCCATAGCGTTTTGCAGTGATTTTTTTTTCTCTCTCTCTAAACCTAAAAACAGCGCCGATGAAAACAGAAAAATAACCCAGAATTCTCCGCCGCTGTCAGGTTCCTGGCTGACATTTGGTCCGTCCTTCCCTGTCGGGCAGCGCCGCGTCCCGCTAAACCACCGCCGGTGTCACACGCAAGCGCGAAGATCTGACGTGATGCTCGTGCCACCGTCCCATTCAGCCGCTCGTCAGGACCCTCCCTTCAGACAGTCGTGCGTATGATCTGGTAGAGAGACGGCTGCCTCCCCGGAGCTGAGGTTTCACACCAGCGGCAGGTTAACGGGAGGAAATCAATAGGCAAATCGACCTGGATTGATTTCCTGCGGCAATGCGAAGATGGCGAGAGTCCTCAACAACTTGCTGTTATTTCTGATCAGACTTGCGCTGAAAATCAGAGTTTGGGGTTACTGGGCGCTAATCTACGGTTATTGTGCTCTCTGCACCACCGCAGCCCTGCTGAAACTTTGCTGGAACATCGTGCTGAGACCGACAGCAACCTTCCAATGGGGAATACGTGAAACTCCCCCGGCTTGTCTGAATGACACGTCCTTGGGAACTCATTGTTATGTCAGGATCAAGGTAAGACTCGCAGACGCGCGTGCCGTCTCGTTGTGTTCGAGTCCCTCGCGCGTGTGTTCACGTGCGCTCCCCCACCTTTTTTCGCCCCCCTCCTCACCTACTCTTTCTCTTTTCTTGCTTTTTTTTCTTTCTTTCTTTTTTTGTGAACCCCCTCCTCCTGCTCCGTCGCGTCGTGACGAGCCGGGCAGGGCCTGGTTCTGTTGAGCCGAATCGTGAAGCGGTCTCTTGTTGTGTTGTTGGCTTGGCGGAGCTCAGGTGGCGGTGCTGAACGAACAGCTCCTCCGCCTCACTTCTCCGCGGGGCTGCAGCCTGCCTCCCAACAACCAACCTCCAAACAACCAAACAGCCAACCTCCAGCTTCAGGACGTGTTAAAATGATTATGTCATTTAGTACGTTGGTCACTAAATCCTCCCGCAACCCAAACATACAGCGTGTCGGAGAGTTTTCAGCCCCTCGTAGTAATCTGTCACAAGTACAAGGAGAACTCGGGATTCAGCTGCAGACTGCGTTCACTGCGTGTTTTAACACGCTGATCTGGGACTTTGTTGATAATCCGTTCAGCAGCTCTACCCAAACAAGAGCTTCAGCTCCTTTATGTTTTCCAAATGAAATACTGATCTGTAGAATCAATATATTCCAGTGAAAATACATAATGCAGATAACAGTAGAATGAAACTACAGGTCGTTGAGTGGAGGCTGCAGTGATCCATAAACATGGTTTGCTCTTAGTGACCTCTGACCCTCCTTTGTTGGTTTTGTCAGCATAATGATCTTTGGAGGTTTGTTTTTAACATGCAGTCCAGATGATGTCTTGTGTTTCTCTGAATGTTTTTTTTTCTTTCCAAACAGCTGAATCTAATTAAAATGTTTATGTGCTTCACTTCGATGCTTTTCAAATGTATTCACACCCATAGGATTATCCTACGTTTTGTCACTTTAGAACCTGATATTGTAATGTATTTTACTGAGACTTTATGCCAGATAAAGTAAAGCCAATTTGTAAACAGCATTTTTTGATTTTCCCAAACCCAGTAGTTGTATGTTTAGTCAGGAGGGCAGCTACAGTCTGAGGTGTTTGCAACATACAGTGTGCAGGAGAGTTTTCACCCTCCCATAATAATGGGGGGGTGAAAACTTGCAACTGTGCTGTACACAAGCACAGCACAATTACAAGAGCTTCATTTTACATAGTAACTTAAGCTAACCTGAATATTTACAAGTCTCCTCTTGATAGACTGAAATTGCTACCTACTGTCTGTCAACCACTTTGAAAATATTTTTTCATACCCATGACATCTTTCATTGTCCCTCTTCTGTTTTTTGTTTTCATTTCTGCATCTCCTAACATTGTTTAAAAGTGAGGGTGGTGTGTTCAGGGTGATGTGAAAAGCGTTTGTTTTTGGGCCTCTGGTTCTGTGTTGGTCTCCACAAGGACTCAAGAAATACCTTTTTTTAAAGGTATGCTTTAAAACACACTAACTTTTTCACTCTAACGGGTATTATTGACAGGTGGATCAGAGACACAGATGATGAAAAAGCTGTTTGGGAATTGATCACTCTTTCTTCTTGAATCTACAACACGGATTCTGGGGGGGAAAAAGGCACAGGTGGATGTAAAGTGATTTAGAGCTGCAGTATGTTACATTTTACAAAAATATGTTTCTGTCACCATGTCCTGACAGCATGTTATGAGACAGATAATCTGGGAAAAAATCAAAACATCTCCTCGTCCTCCAAGTGCTACTGCTGTCTACAAAAATGCACCTGCCCTGGTCAAACAGCCAGGAGGAGGAGGGACTTAGCGCTGTCTGTTAACCTTCTGTTCGCTGCTCAATGTGTTAGAGAAGGAAACAAAATGTACAGAACAACTGTTTATGCAGTAAACAACTGTTTATGCAGTAAACATCTATGCTCACTATCGCACTATAATCTGTGTAGCAATCTGCAGAGGGTGAGCACAAGAGTGATTGGCAGCACTAAGCACCTCCTCCTGGGTCTGATTGGTTGTTTCATGACATAATGGTAATTAGAACAACTATGTAAAAAGACGTACATTTTTGAAATAAAAGTTACTAACTGCAGCTGTGACCCTCATGACATCTTTGAGGGGTAAATGCAAAGACAGAATTCAACCATAATGAGCTGCCTACAGATGAGCTGCCTACAGATTTATCTTGATCATAATTTTTTGGTGTTGTAGATTGATACCGATCACAAGTCGCATGAATCTTTTCAGTGAAATATATTCAGCTTGTGCACTGCAGATGACATGCTTTATTTCCTCAGGAGGTGTGTGTGCTCACTGCTTTAACATTCGCTGATTCTCAGTTTTTCACTCGAGGTACGGTAAATCATGAAATGCTGAGTCTGCATTTTGTGGCTGGGGATGAAGAGGAGGAGGAGGTTGTCGGCGCAGGTTTTATTTGTGCGTCTTTCCGTTCTGCAGGAGTCTGGCCTGCGGTTCCACTATGTCGCTGCTGGGGAGAGAGGAAAGCCCCTCATGCTGTTTTTGCACGGCTTCCCCGAGTTCTGGTAGGTGGAGTGGTGAGAGCACCGCTCTGGGTTCAGCTGCAAACATTTACACTCTGCATTTTGCATACAACATCCATTGATTGCATCACTTCTTCACCGTAAGGCTGCTGCAGCACTGTTTATTATCTGCATTCTGACTTCAGCAAAAATCCATCCCAGTCTTATTCATATGTGGATTATAATTGACATGGGGGAAGAAGGGCCTGTTTCAAGATGTCCTTATCCTGAAATGGGGAAATCATACATATGCTGAGCATTGTGTCCTGGACTGAACCCAAAGAGCTATAAGCCTGTCTATATCTGTAGGATGTTATGCAGGCTGAGGGCTGGAAAGGGATTCATTTAATAGTAGACAGGAGCAGTTACAACTTTACTCTCCATCATCCTGATTGGAATGATGAACTGAGCTGAAGGTGGTCAGAAAGATCCAGCTTTTCCTTTTTGAAGTCTATTCATTTACTTTTAGAAAGCCAGAGCAGCGCTCAGAGGATCGTACAGCAGGATGCATAACCCTGCAACGTTCAGGATGTTGTGAGATCGACTGAAACAAAGTGGTGAACAGCTGTAAAGAATTTGAAGTCATAAAGTGTCCCATGTGCTTTTATTCAGCCCTAGTTTCCTGTTGACTGCAGGTCTGAACTTTGACTGGACCATTCTTATCAATGAATGTGGTTTAATTCAATTGTGTCCCAATTTTTGTCCTGAGGGCCAAGTTAAAAGCACCTTTTATGTTGGTAAATGTAAAAATGCATGTGGCGTTCATTTGATTTTATCTTTATCTGTTTAAATAATGAACAAAAACATTCAAAATTTTATTGAAGCAAACTAAATTGTTGGATTGTTTAGATGCAAAATATAAAAGAAGATGCTTTCCTGATTAATGATATTGAAAACCTCCCAAAACTATTCATACTGTCGGTTTAAATAGGAAACTGTTGTTTCCTATTTTTTTTCAATGAAAGTAAAAATAAAAATTCAATAAATTTGAAAATATCTGTTCAGTGATATAAAGGACACTTCTTTATATGACTGGAGCCCTTTAGAAGAATATGAGAAATGTGAATGTTTCTCATATGCTTCATTGTTCGTGTTGGTAGAGCTGTGATTGCTGTGTCATGCAGTCAGAGTCACACAGTTACCTAAAAAAAAGTAATAAATGGTTTGAATCATCACTTTTATAGTCATAATTCAAACATCACAATATTTTTTACCACGGGATATTGTGATAAAACATTAGGTCCATATTGACCATCCCTACATACCAGTAAAGGAAGTACATTTAAAAACAGAAATGTGGGCTTAATGAAAAGTCTTTGAACTCTGGTGGTAAGACTGCAGGAGTCAAGGAGGAATTTGGTCAGACTGTCAGTTTCCAAAACCAGGCAAAAAAAG